CCCCCACTGGACCCAACACCGCCACCTCGTGAGGCCACACCCCCACTGGACCCGACACCGCCACCTCATGAGGCCACACCACCACTGGACCCTACACCACCACCTCGTGAGGCCACGCCACCGCTGGACCCAACACCACCCCCTCATGAGGCCACACCACCCCAACAAAGAACTGATGAGCAAGTGAGTTAGAGCCAGCAATTCCAGGGCAGGGGAAGCAGTTTAGGCTAGCAGTGGAGAGGACTAGGTACGTAGCTCAGGACAGATCAGGTCATAATTTGTACTGCAGGTTATTTAACAGTGCACCTATTTGATGTGATGGTCTGGCAGGGTTATCAATTAATGGCCAGGTACTTCATCTGAATTTAGGCTTGACATACGTGTAGTTGGTCATGTTGGTACAGGTGGATTTTCTAATTAAAACATGCTCATGATCTGTTGAAGATGTAGTAATATATTAGGTAAAAAAATTACTGTTGTGCTAAAATACGATGTGCATTTTATTCAAGGATATTATTTCTGCTATTGCACGGAAAAACTACCTCATTAAAGTTCTAGAATTCTCAACGAAATCTTGCATACATGTACTGCATATAGAGTAACTGTGTGATTCTACTGTAATTGGGTACATGTACGTGTACTTTCTAAGTTGTGGTCAGATACATGTAGCGGCTAGTGCTCAGATTCATTAGAATTAAATGTCAGCTAGATCATAGAGATACATGAAGTGTTGCAGTATCAGTTAGGTTCCCCCTTCCCTTTTTTCTCTTTAGAAGTTGAATTCCTTGCTGTCTTATGCAGATCGCTAATCAACTTTTGTAGCCATTTATTTCCAGAGTGTGTTTGATGAATTTAATGACTTTTGTATATGTACATGTATTTATATACACATACATGTACTGTACATGTATGCACATTCATGTACAATCTTGAAAATGGTGAAGAAGAGAGGTCTGTAAGGTTGATTTTTTTTAAAAGATAATGCTGGCATGCCTGCCGTTGGTTAACTTCGCGATTTTTTTTTTTTAATCTGGCAGTTCTAGCTAAGGCCTTTCCTCTGTGAATAGCATGGATCTGGAGGAACTACATTTAGTTCAGTTCGGCTGGCAGTCCGCTTTGTTCATATCCTCCCGCATTGTGCTTGCGAAAACAGTCAGACGTTAACAGACTGACAGTGAAAGCTTTGCCAGAGAAAGAGAGACGTTCACCGCCTGAAGGTTGACTTGAGAAGGGTTTTGCCTTAATGCACTGTAATGCAGTTCTTGTGTACCAGTACGTGCATGTCTCTGTTGACCATGATCATCTGTGCTGAAAGACAGCCTTCGATAGATATCATGACATCACCATGGCCTACGCGACTTGAACAAAAGACTGTTTTTAAGCAGCTTTGGAAACAAGGAAGGGGCAAGCAAAATGATGAGATGAGACACGTGCAGCTGAAATATGCGCTTCAAAAATTAATTGACGGCAGATCCCTCGCTGTTGTAAAAAAAATCTCTGAGCCTCATATACATGTATTTATATTAGAAAATTGACAACACATTGAAATATTCAGCGAAAGGATAAAAATGTGCTAGAACAGGTCCCTATTGTAGGCAGTAGGATGGGACACATGATGTACCCGCGGTACATGAATGGGAGATATTGACTTTCTGCATCATTAGAGCGTGTACTGGTACATGTACACCTGTACCATGTAGGTGCTGTCAATGCCACTGTACAGTGTACCTACAGGCTTACTTGAAGTACAAAGCATTGGAATTGACATGATTTGTGGAAACATAACATGGTTAGCCTGAGTAGAACTGCTTCTTTTGTCTCTTTCACTGGGCATGTACTGTACAGTATACACTACCACCTCATGTAAAATGTACATGTACACATGTACATGAACATGTATAGTACTTTATCTTTACCCACACCAATAAATACATACCTGGTACATGTACATGTATAGAGAATGTTTAAATTATGTACAATGTACATGTACACCATAGGACTTAGTTATTTGCTTTTAACATTACTGATTAAGAGGAAAAAACTACATTATACCCATTGTACATTGGACATGTAGAGTCACATGTACATGTAGGTACCATTAAATTAGTAGATGTACATGTAAGATTGTAGGGGGACACCAGTACCCTAGGCTAGCTAACTATGTTCGCTTTTTAATTTAGGTGTGGCAAGTGTTTTACAGAATATTGTCCACCGATGTGTAAAAAAGTGTAGATGTGGAACATTTTCATTCAGTGAGATGTACCAGTACATGTCTGTGTAGATGTTTGTTGGTAATGTGCAGATGGGTGTTTTTCAGAACTCTGTAGTGTCCACTTGGATAACATACAAACAAGTGAATTTTGCACATTGTGTGAAGTGTAATGGGACCACTTCATTGAGCGATAACTGTGGTCCAAAAGGAGATATTGGCATTCATGAACTCAACCATTTAAAGTGGCTTAAAATTGTTCGATTTTTTTGGGGGGGGTGATTTTGGTTTATCGGTAACCAAGTGCTGCAAATTTCTTTTTACAATGCAGATCCTTGAGTTTCTTGATAAATCATTTCTGACCTCTAATTCCTCTGGTTTTTTAAAATTAATGTTGTGAATTAAAAAAAAAAAATCCAGAGTTTTAAGTCAGCCAGGAAGTGATCCATGGAACATTCTTCACGTACATGTACCAGTATTGTACCATGGTTTTGCCTCAGGGAATAGAACTGTGGCCTGGCATGTTATCAGACTTGTGACTGACCATACATTACAAACAATCCTGCTTTGATGGCCAGTTTGCAAAGCCCTCCGCACTTGTGGCAAACCTTGGCTGTGCAACTTCAGATCACTTTGCATGTTGGAAGACACGTACTGAGAGTAATGAAATGACCACCAAGCACAAGTGTACATTTGCATTTTGGCATGTGGATGATGCCTACAAAATGAGGCCACACCTTCACAGAATCACAGTTCCAACACAAGTATGATTTGTTGCCACTCTGACTGGAACAGTGTTTTAACTGCATGCATTTTGTTTTGTATTCCCCTCTCTCCCTGTTCACATCACCTTGCCAACCAACAGCCTGTAGCTTTTATGACAGACCAGGGTGAGTTGAAATAGAAAACCATGATGCAAAGAAAATGGCACAAAATACCCTCTCAGCATCCACCTGTCCACACTAACATAATATAATCTCCCTTGTGTCATCAATTTTGGCTATTAAAACTGTGGAATAACTGTTTCTCACCATCGTCTGACTAATTGCATGCACATGTACATGTAAGGTACCGGTAAGTGTGTCTACATTGTATCTAGTCTGCAGGTTGCACCACACCAAATACGCGCCCATAGAAAACAGTGCCAAATTGGACCGAGATAGCGCCACCTGTTGACTCTTGTGAAGAGGTTGGCCTCCGTTTTTTCACTGGAAATTCAAGATTATGGCCAGAAAGTCACTTTCGTTTCAATTCCAAGGGGGTTAGCCTCGAAACACCTTTTTATTCGCCTTTCAAGGAAGATACCCCAAAATGGCAGTAAAAGTAAGCGCTCATTTCTGAATGTATAGCCGCCCGCCTCTATCCAAAATAGGCCCGCAATTTGGGGCTTTTTGTGAAAGAAATACCCCGAACTGGAAACTATCAGTGCCAAATTTGGAATTTATAAAAATATTTGTAGGATCCCTCCTGATTATGGCATGTCTCGTAAAAATCCCATGGGATCACAAAATATTAATGATCTTGCGCGCAGAAATACAATCATTTGGTGGAATGCACCCTGCTCCATCTAAAATAGTTCTCTCTGCTGCTGTATCATCAAGAAGCTCTTTTGTTGTTAATATTTGCTACCACTACTTCAGTTTCTGATCTGTGTCAACGCTGAGTGCTTTTTAATTCCTTCTTTGCCATTTACATGTCAGCCCTAAATGCACAGAGGGAAATTTCTTGTTTATAGTGACATACACTGTAGATCTGTTTATCCTGGAGGCCAGGACTTCATACCGGCTCCTGTACCGGTACATGCAAGAAGTCATCCATAAATTGATGCTTACCGGTGATGACTCGTAATAATGGACATTAAGGAGAGACTGCACCAGACTGTACAAAAACAATTTTTTTTGGGGGGGGGGAGGATGGAGGGCAATGGAAGAGAAATAGTCCACATGTACAATGTGGGGAGGGGGGGAGTATGAGCTGTTGTGTTGATGTACCGGTAAAGTGCTCTTCTGTGGTACACTTTGGTTTACATGTTTGATGAGCAGTTTTGACTGTACATGTTGATGCACGTTATACCGGGCGCAAAGCCAACAAAATCTCAATGAAAAAACTTTGTCCCCAAAGATAGTACATTTATATTGGATACATGTACATACGTACTGGATTTTGAAATGTTTGGTGCATCAGTTTGGTGTAGTGAATAAAAAAGAAATATTGAGCTCTGGTTTATAAATGCCAAGATTCCATTTTGTATGTGTTTGGGAAGGAGTTGAAATGTCCCTTTTACTTTTAATGCTCATTTAAACTGTTCAGGAGAATTTGGGTTTGATACATCCTTTTGATTGACTTGGATTTTTTGGTTAATCTGAATGCAGTCATAATGTACATGTATGCCCTCTAAATGGGAAGTGGCCTTTTGTAACATGTTAAAGGTTTTAAAACAGGAACAATTTTGTGTGTCTGATACATGTACAAAGTGAATCGTACAATACAGTATCTTTCAAATAGCGGTAGTTGTCATAACAAAAATGCCCTTAGCATGGCACACTTCACAAGACTGCATGTGGTGTTGAGGCTGTTTGTGTGCTGTTGACATGTTTGCTAGCCTGCCTTGGCCTTCTTTCTCTAACCCTACTTACCGTACATATTCATGTCCATTAAGCTGAAGTCATGAGTTTTGGTTTTTGTTTTGTTTTCAAGTTACGCTGACTAATGTGCATACTGGTACATACACCTGTCATAAACCTGTTTCTGTTAGAATGAAATGCCAACTTCTCAGGCCTTCGTACATGTGACTGCTGTATTAATTAAGTCAATAAAAGACCACTTGTATACACTTCACCACTTGTAAGTGAACATGTTCAGTAACGGGAGAAAAATCTAACTTTGACGTCGACGAAACTATTGATTTCTAGAAACATTTGTTGGCATGACCTGGCATTCTGCATTTTGTTGAGATAATCAAATCAGTGACTGTCAGCTGCTTTTCACATGTTATTGTTTCTTTCATATGCTAGGAAAAGGTTGTGCAATGTTGAGTCTATTCACTCAGGTTGAAGTTGGCATTCATCGCTCTTTACTAATACCTTATTTTTCTTTCTTTCTGCATTTTTCTTCAGTCTTTTTCTCCGGGTCGTAGGCCTACATTCTACCTGTACTGTTAACATTTTGCTGAAGTTTACTCTGTCTGCTTTTTAAAAAGTTCTGTATTCATTTACTCAGTTTTCCTTCTTCTTTCTTTTGCATGGAAACGCTGTTTTTCATTGATTCCTGCTTTTTTCCCATCCACAATTATGAATTTTGTCTTACTGGATATGCAAAATAAAAAAATTGTATTTTCTTTGTTTTTTATTTTCTATTTCCAGCAGCTGAATAATTCTGATAAGATGGGCCAGTCTTCTCCACTGCTAGTCTCAAGCCCCATACAGTCCGCGGAGATCCCTTCCCCAAAGGGGAGCCCTGCACCTTCTCAGACTCAACTCCCTTCCCGGATGTCCCCACCCCTGACTCCCCCATTGCAAAATGTCCCACCCCATACTTCCCCAGCCCCGATTTCCCCAGCTCGGTCCCCACAACTCCAGACTGGTCAATCCCCGACCTCTCCTCCCCGGAAATTTCCACCCCTGAGTTCCCCACCCCTTTCTTCCCCTCCCCCAACTTCCCCACCCCCGGCCTCTCCACCCTCAGCTACTGCCCCACCTCGACAGTCCCAGAGTCCAGGCCCCCCTAGCCCAGCCAAGTCCAATGATGATTCTGAAGCTGGCTTAACAACATCTCCAGTAGGGAGCAGCTTGGAGGACGCAACTGCTAAGCAGGTTGGCGACAAGAGCAGAGAGGAGAAAGAATCAGAGATGAACCAAGATGATAACAGAGAGGAAGATGATAAAATAATTGGCAGCAGTACACAAGGAGTGGACAAGGAGCAGGATGAGGCTGATGATGACAACAAAGATGAGCAAGCTGAAGAGGCAGAGAAAGAAACGGGCAGGGCCAATGATAACAGTCAGCTAGCAGATGGACGGGATACTCCTCAAGCAGAGGAGCGCACTGCAGAGGATAGCCATCAGATTGAAAACAAGGAGTCATTTACAGAGCTAGGCACAGCTGGGGAAGGAGACACGCTGTCAGGAGAAGGCCTTCATCTGCAAAAGAAGAAAGGACCAGGGGCCAAAGATGACAAAGATCAGGATGGCAGTCAGATTAAAGATGAGGTAGTCAAAGAGCAGACCACAGCTGATGAGGGAAAGAGGCTGTTTGGGAGTGGACAGGATGATCATGTAAACGGCATTGAGGAAGATTGCAATCAGATTAGAGACGAGGACACTACCTCGCAGCAAGGGACAGCTGAAGAGGGGAACAGGATGTCAGGAGAAGGTCATTTGGTACAGGAGGAAGGAGTGGAGGCTGGAGCTAATGGAGATCATGAGGATGGCAGTCAGGTGAATGACAAGGAGGCAGTCACTGAGCAAGCCATGGCCGACAAGGGGAACAGGCTGCTTGGGAGTGTACAGGAGGATCACGCTCACAGCAATCCGGAGGACCGCTGTCAGACTGAAGACGGGGATGCAGGCACACAGCAAGGCACAGCTGAAGACGGAGACAGGGAAGAGAAAGGTGTTGATGAGGCAGAAGAGGATGAGACTGGCAGAGATGAGAAGGAGACTGGGCAAGCAGTGGAGCAACATGCTCAGAGAGATGAAGTGAGCAAAGAAAAGGAGAGCAGCGCAGAGGAAGAACATCAGTCACCTGAAGAGCCAGCGGAAGAAGAGAAAGCTAACAATGCTGGGGACGCAGTGGACAGTGAGTCTGCTTCAGAGAACATAAACAAAGATGAAGAAGCCCTTTCGATAGCAGGCTATGAAAACATGAACAAAGGACAGAAAGAGGAGCTGGCCCCAGACAGCGATGGAACCGAGCAAGATGAGTCACCGGCACGTCGGGCAGACTCGGGCAAGGAGATGGATTCTGGGATCAGGTCCGAGGAGGACCCTCCCCTGCAGAATGACGACTCAGACAGCTCCACCCCCCGCAAGTATACACCCACCCCACCCAAGTCTCCCCGTAAGAGCCAGTCACGGCCGCGCCCAGCCTCACGACGTGGATCTGCCCAGAAACCTGCTGAAAATGGCGTCCTTGCAAGCATGGAGACAGCTGCTATGTGAGTCATAACATTGTCACACCAAGCCAAAAGAGAGCAAAAATGAACAAAATAAGGAAACACAAAGGTATCCCACCACTTTGTGCGTAACAAATCGCTTACAAACTCAGTCCACAGAATCTTAATAGGAAGATGTACCAATGATTCCAGGTAAACATGTACATGTAGTTTTATGCACGCATCTTCCTGCCTGTTTAAAAGAAAAAAAGAGTTGTAAATTCTTGGATGTGAAGTTTGCTCTGTGTTCATATAAACATGTACATGTACATGCACTTGGTGTCACAATGTTGTAACAGTGTAACAGGTGCACAAGTAACAAAGAAGTTGTTTCTGATGTCGTCGTTGCATAATTTTGCCTTCTGGTGTACATATACAGCTAAGGAAAGAGACACATTCATTTACATTTCAGGTGAAAAAAATGTGCTTTGTTTTCTTGTGCCAAAGTAGATGCCCACACAAAAGTACAACAAAATCTAAAAGTTGAAAAAGCTGAATGTTTGATCGAGTATTTGTTTTCTGATGCAAAATACCTTTTGCCTACCTTTTAATATTTAGTGCACTCGGTAAAAATGTTTCAAGTCAGGGCTAAAATAGATCATACATGTAAATCAGGGCTAAGCCATTTAAATTTGAAAAGTTTTGTGAGACATGCCATGTGGGTGGGTGGTAGTCTTGGAAACATGGTTGAATAAAATCGAGTGGTTCAGCTGAATGTTATTCAGGACATGGTAACGGACATCAGAATTGTATTCCAAATTTTTAATCGTAACATAATGCTGTTCAGTTGTTTATATAAGACAGGGATTTGGACATTTACTTTTCACTCGTGAAACCAAAAGATTTACATATAATGTACATATAATGCAATTGGATAAATACTATCGTATTAGTTTTAGTTCTTGCATTAATTACAGTTCGTGGTTCACTGTGCATTGATTAGACCGTCCATTTTGCACATAACTTTACAAAACATTACTATGTTTGACTTGTTTAGACTATATATTTAGCCCTTATGCACTGACCGTCCATGAATTTTGTTGTATATATTCATACTAGTCAGAGAAAAAGACAGAGATGCTGTTGATGTGGGAGGTCCATTTCGTTCTATTGCAACTTTTTGCCAGAAGCACATGCCTTAATGTTTTCGATTTCACTTTCCACATCAATACATGTACCTGTGCACATGTGCTTAAAGTTATCCAAAGACATCACAGACAGTGTACCGATACCATTGGACTGGGTAGATTACGTAGTGAGGTCTTTGTCATTCTGATTCATGCATGCACACACACACAGCCATGTTCTTAGCTGTATCCAAGTACCACTGTCTGTATTGTATTCACTTTGGCAGGTTGTATGTTAAGCTCTGCTTTGTCAGCATTTTTCAGTGTGAAGAGGGAAGTGGGGGGCTGAGGAGCATACTGTTGAAAAATCACGGTGGAATTTAGAAACAAGTATTCAGGCTTCATGCCACATTGGCTGCATATTGCATTTATTGTTGGGAGCAATGGACAGACATAAGAACATGGTCTATTCTTAATGTACATTGATGAAAATATCCTTGCTCTGCGTGTAGTTTCATAGCAGAGCCAATAATGCCTTTGAAACGTTTGAAAGAGCTTAGTATAGGCCGTCTACCACAAGATGTTACTTCAACCATTGGGAAAAGTGTTCAGTAAGCGAAACCTTATATTCACAGCATTACATGAGTTGACTTTGAAGCTTTTTTCATATGACATTCTACAAAGTCTACACAGCATTGCAGTGCAAATTTGTTTTTGAAACATTATTGCTATTTCTTTCTTGCTTTACACTCTACACTTATTGGCTACCTGTTTGGTGTCTGTATACAGTTTGGGTCATGTTGTGGTTTTGAGAATCATTTTTTTTTCCTTCAGTAGCCGCTATGCATCCCCATCAGCATTTTTTATGTATTTTTGCTGCGATAGCATTCATAACTGTAAAATTCTTTGTTGATTATCAGCATTGCATAAATGTGGCAGATAAGCCCTAAAGGTTGAGTGGAAATGTTCTCAATACATTTTTGCCATAATTCTTGACACATGTACTTTTGTGTATGCACTCAGGAAGATGTATTACCAATGTTCAAATTAATTCATTGTGGACATTTTTATTGTCACGTGCTATAACAATATTTTGTGTTCATCCTAAGAAAATACATCACAAGTAAGAATATATTATGCACTAATTTAAGGCACTGTATCTTATCTGATCTGTGCTGTGTTGAAGCGTGGTTGTTACATTGTATGTGGCAAATTGGAATGAAAGTGAACTCATAGAGCACATTTGAATTGCTTAGATCTTTCTTACTAGGGAAATTCTTTTCATGCTAATATCAACCAAGAAACATAGAGTACCCGGTATTCCTAACCATAGCAAAGTATTTGCTAATGAAATGCACTGTGCATGCTAGCACAGTCCAAAAGAAGGATCTTTTACGTAGGCTGGAAACATTTCAACAAGGAATTCTTCACAAAAGTTTGAAGTACAGTACTCACTTGTAAAGGTGGTTTTGTTTTCGTTTATTTAGTGTCGTTAATTTCTGATGTCATACACGTTATCCAGAATTTGTTTCATTTTATTTAAGTGCCGTTATTTCTGAAATACCTTTATCGACTTTGAAACAAACCACTTTGAGAAGTGAAGGATTTATTTTAAATGTCCAGTAACATTCTTGCTATTAAGACTCCTGGGATTTATAATTCTACTTGAATCAAACATACATGTGGTTCGAATATTGACAGGTATTAACGTTGGGATTTGGAATTGGTTTCAGTATTTGGGGCCAAGCGATGCGGTAGCTATGTGTATAATTAAAATAGTTCAACTTAAGAAAGTATATTTTTCGTGACAGTATATAGAGTTTTGATCTTCCATGATTCTAACTTGCCATTTTATACTGGGAAAAGGTGAATACGAGTTTACTTTAAAATGGCCCGAAGGTATAATGGAGCCCAAAACCCGCTTTGAAATGGGAGTAGGGTACGGACACATTCTAATTTGATGGCATTCCTAATTAAAGACAATTTCTAATCGTCAGTTTCATATGTTAATATGTATCCCCCAGCCTGCATTTGTTCATTCCGAATGTTAAGTTCTCGTCTGAGTTATGTAATTGATGTTGTTTGAAACGTATAAAATGTGAAGATGTTCTGTTGAAAATGAAAGGTGAACTGTAAAATTATTGTAAGATAGAGGAGCAAATTAAAATAATATCAAAACGAAATATTTGCCGGGTTGAATTTGTTTCTCTTGTAAACTTTTCAATCTCAATTTGAACAACCATTTTGCAAAGAAACATTTCAAAACAGAATGGGATTTCCAGTCTGCTGGTCAACATGATGTCTAGTTGAAGCCTTATCGCAAAGGGACCGTTAAAGATGTGCAGGTACTACACGGGATACGTGGACGGCATGGGAGATTAGTTGGTTATAACACTGCATTTTTTCGATTATTTCAAAATGTTACTAGTGTACGTGACCAAAACAAATCGCACGTTGTTTTTATAGTGTGCATGCTTGCAGTAAAACCACACAAAATGTTAGTTTTCCGACCACTGCGTATCCCTCAAGCGCACTGTTTCTAATGATCCCTGTCAACTTCAGGTACGAAAACGCAGGGGGAGCCTTTGCAAACTGTTATATTTTGATCTCCAAATAAATCCCCGTAACATTAAAAGCGCTGTTTTCCCCTTGTATCGGGTGAATCGCCTGTTGGGGAAACAGATTACCCAAGTGCGTAAATTCTCTCCTAACGTGGGCATATTTGTTTAATTTTACCCAACGGTTGTAGGAAGTTACTGAATCCAGTAATCTTTTGCCCAGCGATTCGGCGTTGTACAATAATGGTTTGAAGGTTTTATTCTTGGAGTAAGTTTAAGATTTTCCATTAGGCCTTCATGATGCGAAATAATGAGGCAATACGGTGCAAAATAATGGGTTAGGCTCGACGTCAGAAATATACATCTACTACCCACTTTGTAAAAGTGGAGAGGGTCGAGGCTTGAAAGGTGACTGGGAGAGAACTATTGTCCACTTTCGAGGAGAAATATTGTCCCCCCCTTCCCTCTCAAACTTATAACTGACAATCCACTTTGCACAAATTCGCCCGTGTAACAGGATAGGGGTGGCCGCAACCGCCGGCAGATCATTGTAGTGAATTTTCTCGAAAAAAAAGAAGGAAATTTTGTATTGAGAATTCAGGAAATTGGAGATTAGACTGTAAAAGTGAGAATCGCTATACTTCAGACACCGGCAAATCATACGCGAAGTAGCAAGTACATCGCACTTTTTTGAAATTTAAATTAAGAGTTCAAAATTTCCAGCAAACTGAAGAGTATGGGTTTGATTTCTCATGGCAATCCTCGGTGTCGTAGGCTTCAGGCACTTCCCCGTGGAAGTGCTCCTGGGTGCCACCTTGACTGAACAGACCATGTTCGATCCACGCATAGTCATTTAGTTCAGTGTTCCCAGAAAAATGTGTGCAACCTGCCAGTGGATGGGTGCCCCCTCAAATTCCACCCTAGTTGCGCCGCTTATTCAATATCACATCGATCTCTTTAAAACGATCTGTAACTATGAAAGGAGAGATCTTGAGCTTGGGGACAAATGTAAGTCAGTATTGTTACTGGCAATATCCTACGACGCCCCAAACCTTGGTACCGTTTGGCAGCGACGTCTGATCACAGGATGCAGGGGGCACGTGATACAGCGCTTCAAACGCGTACAACTTTTCGGTTGATTCTTCTTCGAAAGGGCCCACGAGGGCGCTGTTAGAACTGATGGACGCGCGAGGGCTGCATGCTTGATCGACGCGACGCGTAAACAGTACATGTAGTAGATGTATGTACATGTACATGTAGTTGCTGGACACGCGTTACGTGCATTACGAACATGGCGTGTGCCCACCAAGGTAAGGTACATGTATGTGCTGCCATGCCGAAGTAAATTTTGCTACGAAATGCTGTTATTTGAACTCATTCAAGAACGAGCCGCAAAAGAATAACTGTTAACAAATTATACATCCCTTTTATTGGGTTTATTTCCACCATAATGGGAATTTGAAAGCCGAATTGGCCGGACATGCAAGTCTAGAGGTAGCCGGCCCCACACACTAGGCCACAGGGCCGGCTGTCAGCTGTCGTCAGGTAGTGGTTCTCTTTTACAGTCTGTCTCTTATCTGTCGCCACCACAGCCCTACTTCAAAACATGCCTGAAATCCAAACTGCAGGATTGTCACAAATTTAAATAAGTCCAAACTCTGAGGAATACGCCGGTGTAAGTAAAATTGTCAAGACATTCTCATTTAGGAAGATTATTGGTAGGATTTGAAGTTTGTGAAACAGTCCTGCAGTTTGGATTTCAGGCATTAAAGACATGTCTTGAACTGAGTTGAAGTAGGGCTGTGGTGTTGATAAGAGACAGATTGTAAAAGAGAGCCACTACAGCCCTACGTGTGGGGCCAGTCTGGAGGCTGTGCCAGAATGACTTTGGGTCCTAGGCACTACGCTGCTACGGGCTCGTTCATACTCGCTGCGTTTTCACACACGCCGCACATGATGCGAATGCCGCATCTGATGTTTACACTTTCATCATTTCTCAAGTCTCGTCTGCAAGTGCGTATCCTACAAAAGTGTAAATATATAAATTTGTCCGAATACACATACATTTCGTGTGTACCACTATCCATTACTTTTACAAACTGTCTGCAAGGGGGTGTATTTTTATTACGTACTGCGCTTTCGTTCACGCATTGCAGACACCTCAAAATAGACCTTTGCATTGCGTACACAGTGAATATGCAGCGAGTATGAACTGGCCTTAAGGCAGTTCTAGGCTAATGTTGTACGGTACATGTATTAGGCCTAATGCTACATGTACTTGTTACTTAGGCCAAACAGTGCGGCGAGTTGGTGTTGTAACGAATGGTACCGAAACTCAGGGAATTTGAGGTTTGACATTGAAAACCTATTGGTACTGAGCCTGAGGAAAGTGTGAGGCCAATAAAAAATGTGCCATGGGGTGGCGTAAATATCCGGGACTGTTGCAAAATGGTGGGTAGTTACTGATGAAAACAGCAACCAAGGCGACGTACGCATGCACCAGCCAGTCAGAAGATCTGATCACACAACAATTTCTTTGATGAGTACATACGTGCACGTTCATTGCAGTTGTTTTCATCTGTTACTACTGCCATTTTGCAAAACTGGATGTCCGCGCCGCCCCATGCCGGAATGATCAATTATGGGCCTGTCAAGTTTTTTGCCAGGTGTGGGGCCAAAAGGTGACGATATGATGTGGAGGTACATGTACATGACTTTACAGTGGCCAGGCCTTTTATTTTGCAACATGCTGTGAAAACTAGACATGCCAGACTTGACAAAGGGCCTACAGTACCAGTACATGTACATGTAGGTGGGGAGATTAGGGACCTAGAAACAATCATGACAATACTACACATGTGTTGTGGCATGAAACAGTCAAACTTTTATTTTATAGCCGATATTGAACTGATACTGTGCAATTGTGAAACTACACTGTACATGTAGGCCTACCTGTGCATGTACAGTGTACATACATGTAGGCCTACATGTACATACAGGTATACACGTACATGTACGGTAAGCCTATGTACAACATGTACACCTGTACTGGTATACCAGGACTAGTACGTCGTGTACATGTATCTGATCAGTTGAGCAAATTACATGTACTTGGGGTAGCCTACATGTAGTGACAGGGGCAAGCCTCTCTTTAGTAAAATGACTTACCCAGCACTTGAGGTGATCGTTAGAGTGCATTGTTTACCAGGGGTCATCACAGCATGCAGCTCCCTGCACCAAAGGTGTACATACACGTATGTTCAAATCCACCCTTTTGCTTGTACCCCAATACAGCTGCAAAATGATCCATTTATAGTTCTAAATCAATTCTTACCCCCAGACTTACTGTACATTACTGCACTAGCGGGCCCTCTAGTTCCATCACTCTGAGCTTTAAGAGGTGAAAACGTTAAGATCTTGTGTCATGGATGAAATGCTTAGGTGGCTTGTATTGAAATGTGAGCTGCAAAAATTTGAAGAAGGTTAAAAACAAGGGAGAAATCTTTCTGTTTATACATGTCTGCACACTACAGTTGGGCCAGCTCAACTGCAGTGCTATAGTTGGGACTGTCCCAGTTATAGTATAGGGACTGATTCTGTAGTTGGGATCTTAACCACTTCGTGCCGGAGCATTTTTCAATATTGATGATGCTGGGCCGGCATGACTATTATTTTTTCCATTTTCAAAATCCTTCAGAAATTCATCATTTCATTTAACGGTCGTTTATAGCTGCACAAAGTAATCTTTAGGCACTACTCTAAGTTGACAGGTGACCTTCATTGACGCGCGAGTATTTCAGCCAGGCCTGCAGTCTTGTAAACAGAGCCCAGATTGTGCGGTGTTGTGTAATTGTCTTTTGTTCACAAACCTGGCTCAGTGCACTGCTGACCTCTTTTCAATAAGGGCCAGATTAGCGTGCAGCGGTGCTGTGTGGCTCATCGCTGTGGTGGTGGAGTGCTTTTGTCCCCGGTGGTAATCCGCTCGCTCTCAATGCCCCAAACCCTGGTATACGGNAAATGTCGGTAATGTCCAGCAGCCTGGTCTTTTGTTCGGAGTACGGTCTTTTGTTACAGGGCCCTGTTTCCTTTGTCCGAGTTCGGAGACCCCGGCCATGCATATAAACCATACGTCTCCGATTGCGGAGTCCCCGGCAGGAAGTGGTTAACAGGAAGTGTTGCACTACTGTGTGTTTATGTACATCTGGAGGTGTGTCTGACAAATTGAGACGTTTGTTAATTGTTGTGTTATGTACATGCATGCACATTCTCATGTAATGTACGTTGACTTTCCTTTATTTATGAATGGTTGTCTGAATTCCTTTTTTTGTTCCAGGTTCACATAATCACCTGACGTACTGCTGCCTCACTTGCTGTTGCTCCTGTCCTACTTAGAGGTGACCTGAAACGACCAAGGGATTGGCAGTTTTTGAGTATTTTCTTTAGAGAAAAAAGTTAAACAGCTGACATAATGCCACGTTATTCAAGGTCACGGTCTCCAAGACATCGTCGCCGGAGGTAAGATGAGGGCACAGGTCAAAGGTCAAAGTTTGCAGCGGGAGTACATGATGCAGGAACAAAATTGCTGATGTTGCGATTGCAGAATTTGAAGTCAAAATCAGAAATGTACTTTGCTGTCGGATTGTTTTGTCACCTTTCATGTAAAGTATTTTATAAGCCAGAATTGAGAATGGAGTGTACTTGTCAAATGTTTGATACTTAAGGACCACTCAGTACCAAAGGTTCAATTTTACAAAGCTGTGTTATCCATCATAACTTTAAATGTCCAACTTTTTTCAGCGTTTTCTTCAGCCAGCAAAATCCAGCAGAGCTAATTGGAGCAAAAAGCAGCACAACAGTTGCATGTTGCTGCATTGACCAAGTTATGATGACATTAATTAAAGTAAAATTGAACCTTGGAGCTAGTTTTGGCCATGAAAAGGCGCTGCTCTTGGAGTAAACATTCATGTAGTGGAGAGATTTGTGTAAAGCATAACTTTCAGGATCAGCACAACCACAAGCTGACATGAACTACTCAAAAATGTGTCCAGTTTATGATTCTTTGAGAAAGAAGACATCAGAATTTCCTACGGGATCCAGTGGCCCAGTTTTGCAGAAGCACCGTGTAGACGTGTGTAGAAAATGCCCTGCAGAATGGAGAATTTCATCTCGCTGTCTGACGACAAAGTTGGAGAGGTTGTCACAAGTTGTGCATAAGCAATTGTGACAATGTTGTCTTGCCAGTGAATATCTTTCGATGTCTCAGAGTCACCACAAATGAGCAAGTGTGGTATAAATTTCAAAAAGCCAAGGTCTTTCGGGAACAAAGCACATGAGTGAATCAGCGTATGGCAGCACTTATAGGACAGACCGCCGTGGGGCGTAAGCACGTTTTTGCCGGGAAGCATGATTACAGCAGAAAAAATGTTCCCCGCAAAAGGGCGTAAGAAACACACTCCCTTTATTTAGTAAAAATGGATAAAATTTTCTACAAAATCAACACTGGCTGTACAGAAAGCAACCTTTGAACAACTTACGAAATGCCTTGGGAAATTTTTAAAAACTTTTCGCAAAGAAATCTTTATATTTCATTAAAATAAAACAGTTGCTTGCATACATCCTTTTGCTGGGAAAATTTTTTTTTGCAACGTGTAGCTGTTTCCGAAAAACCTTGCACTGGGCATGTGCTGTTGGAATACCGAACTGGCTCATTGTGCTTGTGCATAGAAGGGGATTCTTTGGCATCTTCTGCGCAGGACGTTGAGGAATTGCCAAGAATTGTGAACAGTGTGTAAAAATGGATTGATGTCTTACCAGATAACTGAGTGAGGACGTCTCGTCATCGGAGGACTTTAGCCATTAGAGGACTTTTTGACAACACCTTGTGCGTACAGTCATCATACTCTACATGTATGTAAAGTGCATGTACGGTAATGTGCATACATGTATGTATGTATACGTTTACGTGTACTTGAAGTGGTGAATATATGTACATCTTGCCATTGTTTGGGAGGAACAACCATGCATTCTTCTGACTGACAGCCATGAACTTTACAGGACTTTTTCTGAAATTGGTGTGCAGTTTACTGGAACTGGCTTACAGTTGAAGAAAACTATTGATGTGCCGCTTTGAACGTACTGGTACACCGCACATGTACTCTACAGTACAGCATTGCTGTACCTGTGCATTGGAAACAGGGAGTGGATATTGGTAATTCTATGGAGGAGAAAGTTACACTTAGGTGCATGTACTTGATGATGTACCGCACCATGGACCAGAGCAAGGAACTTACCACTCCAAGTTCTTGATTTACCGGCACATGTACCGGGTACATGAAGAAACAGTTCAAGCAACAGGACTCTGTGGTGGGAACTCTTCTGAACTGTAAAGGATTTTGAAAGTCTGGCCCGGTGGCTAGCAAAGGAACTTGACCTGATAAGCATCGAATACACCTTTTGTGCATGAAGTGATTGCCGGCCGTTACCTGTACATGTAGTTGCCCAAGGATGTCTTGGAATGAGCGTGAGACGTGGGGTCTATTGCTTGAAGCAAAGACGGTCACCGGCTGCAAATTGTTACGGAAAATTCAGCAAATGAAATGCAAACAAATTTGATCAAGACCTGTGATAAAAATACAGCTGTTTGTGGGCATGATGTACATGAAAATGATGCAAATAATTCAAGCCAATTTCCCGTCAGTCAAAAATATCATGAATAATCTTGGAAGTTTGTTATGGGCTTGACCACTGGACAATGCATTTCTTTGGCTCTTTCACTTAGAATATGATACATGGCACATGCACATGTTGCCATAATGAATAGAGTTCCCCTCGTGGAATCAAGCTGACTAGCCGACTGGCTAAGAGACCCTTCAGGAGGAGTTGGGTCAGATGGGATCATCTCACGACATCAGTGTGTCATTGCATTCATATACATACATGTACTATAAAGTGGTTCATGTACATCATTCACAACATTAGCTGCACCATAAAAATCCATGAAGGCTACTGGTACATGTACATGTAGTGTTGAGCCTGAAAGCGAGGATACATGTAAGCCAAGGAGAATAACTGAGAAAAATTATTTTAAGTTGAGTGGAGCCAGATAGTACAAAACCTGGACAGACTGAATATGATGCTGTGATGAGCAACACCACAAGTGCCACAAGAGGATACACAAAATGACTTTCTCTTGAAGACTTGGGAACATGCCACTATAGAGGAAGGACATAGGAGTTGCAACTCTGGCACTTCAAAGTGTTCAGTGATGGTCGTCGCTGAGTCAGACAAATAATAGAAAACATTCCAAAAATACCTGAGTACTGCCGGCATCTTAGCCGGACAACGTGGGCCAGTAATATCCCAGTAATACTTGTATTTTTTTGCTTGCAATTAAATACAAATTATTGCTTTGACCAGGAAATAAAGAGAGAAAAATCCCTGATATTAGACCTACTTTTATCATCGCAAATAAACTTCCAATACATCAGTGTTCAAAGACTTGGTACGAATTTGGCTAAGACTGCCCAAAACAAAATCTTCATTACTACTGGAAAGCTTAGTTAATTGGGAACAAAATGCACTATTTCATCACAGGGAGTGATCGTGAAATCTCATAAAATACGCTTTTGTACAAATGCCATAATAAAAATGATTCAAACAAAACACAAAATCTTGTAAACAACTGGGCCATTTATTCCCAAAATAACTCCAGAAGAAAGAGCTCATTAAGGGCAATGACTGCACATAAAGATTTAGGGCACACAGCATAATGCAAGCAACTGCGCAAGCATTAAATTTGATGTTGTCATGAGATCATACCAAGCACCAACAAAGGCATGAATATTCAATTTCCTATACCTCAGTACACGAAGTTTTAAGGATGCAGATTACCATTGACAAATTGCGGTGGGGATCATAGGGTACAAAGGGGTTTCATGGTTGTGAACAGATGGTGTATAGCAAGCGTTCGCTGCGCTCTGGCTATATACATCCCGGGCACGCCAGAAAGCGGTAATTGGCCAGATGTTACAGCCCGGGCAGTTCAAACTCCTTCTGTGTCCTTCCTCTATGATGCCACTGAGCAGTGAAAATGTTCAACATGTACAATGTACCACCCAACATTGGAACCATGCCAGCCAGCGGTGGGAACACACCACCCAATATTGGAACCATGCCACCCGCCCCCAAGCAATGGGAACATGCAGTCAAGCAGTGGAAACATGCCACCAA